ACACAGGAACTGTGGTACAGTCATTAGACTGCTACACAAAGTACGCAAGTATTGCTATATAAGTGAACACAAGCATTGTGACAGCCTATGAATAGTGACTAATGAGTGGGCAGCATTCACAGCATGGGTACACTGGACAAAGGGATGACTCATGTCCAGGGCAGGAGAGAGTGGAAGGGTGCAAGACTGCATATCACTCAGAATGGCATGCAATTTAAAGCTTACAAATATTTTATTTCTGGAATTTTCCATTTCATATTTTCAAACTATGGTTAACTAGATAACTGAAGGCATGGAAAGCAAGACCACAAACAAGAGGCGATCAGTACTATACAGGCATCTACATTTATACAAGTTAGTACATATACATGTATTTTATAACTCTGCAGACAGTTGCCTGAAAGCAGTGAAACTGTGATGGTTCCTAATACCATTCTCCAACAAAGGGACCCTTGTTGAGATGACTTGTTTTAGGGCTAGAACAGAGGATGATCCCAGATCATCTTGTAGTGCTACAAAGAAGAGAAGGGCTCAAAACTCTAGCAGACAAGAATGTCAAAGGAACGGAGGCCCAATGAGAGCACTCCTGATGGCTGGGCTGCACAGGCCGGGGACAGAATACAGTGCAACACCGCCATCCCTGGACAGCAGCCGCAACCCTCACACACAGGAATGCAGGCAGGCCACTCTGCACTGTTTCAACTTTAGATAACATAAAGTTATGTCATCGTGCAGGCATATTTTTCCAAAGTATGAGAACAGCACATACACAGCCACAGATCAAAAGGGACATACACAAACTAGTACATGTTCAGAGAGAAAAGACCACGAGACAGGCACACATAAACCAATTCAATCTTATAAATACTTGAGCCCTTAATAGGCACCACAAAAATCATGAGTGCAAGTCAGAAGACGAACTCAAGTAAAGTTCCTTGCCTTCTACCTTGTTTGAGACAGTCTTATTATTTTGTTAAGATGATTGAAATAATTTATTAAAGTTAGTTTAGTCCCCTTTCTTCAAAAGCTCATGATGGCCTGGATATCTGTAGATATTCAAAGACCATCCATTAGGTTAAAATATTTAGTGGCTGGGAGTATTGCTCACTGACAGAGTACTTGTCTAACAGACCCCAGGCCCTGGATTTGGTTCTTAGCGTGTGGTTGAAGTGTGGTTGAAGAAAATAATAATATGTTCTATGTATACACATCCAATTCACATAATGAGAGTGGTAGATTAAAAACTGCAAGAAATCAATGTTTTAGAGTGTGCTCTTGTACTAGGCCCACTAGGCCAGGCCCAGCCCAAATGGTTAGGTTACAAAAAAGAAAAAAAAAAAAAAAACTTGTAAAGAACCAGTCTTCCAAACAGGAGGTTAACAGCAGCCAATCAGAAGGCATTTGGTTTGTCTGAAATGACATACACAGAAAATCCCCTCTTAAATCTGCAGCTACCTCTAACGACCAATCTGGGTTCCACTCCTTGCTTTTCTTTTCTACTTATAAAGCCCACCTCTTCCTAGCTTTAGCTATAGGAGCACCTTTTAAATAAACAGGATGCTTCCATTTCAAGAATGTCTAGCAGAACCAACTACATCTGCAAGAACACTCCGGTGCTGACTACACTTCTAAGTTTTCCTTCAGGGACGCTGCCAACAGACTCGCACTGTCCTGGGACTAGAAAAGTGGAAATGGAACAAAAATTAGTGAAAGAAAAACAGCAGAGGCTTTTGGTCCTGGGTCAGCAGTTTAGGCTTCTGAATTTGTCCTGTGCAGTAACTTATTAACAGGATTCTTCTAGTCCCAGTTCTAGCAACAAAACACTGGAGTCATGTGAGCAAAGAACATACTTATTTACCATGTATCATCAGACTAAAAATATGTCACAAAACATAATACACAGGCTGGCAAGATGGCTCAGTGGTGTAAGAGTGGTTGTCCCTGAAGCCTGCTAATCTAAATTCCACCACTGGATCCCAGCAGGGAAGGAGAGAAACAACTCCTAGACGTTATTTTCTAATCTCACGCGTGCACCATGATGTGTGGACCCACACCTCTACATACATACTACAATAATAACAATAACACAGTTTACACATATAATACAGAGTATGTTCTCAGTTCAACATATAACACAGATGAAAGAGTGGGTCAGGTGGTAGTAGTACTCAGGAGGCACTTGGGAGGCAAAGGTAGGGGGATTTCTATGAGTTCCAGGCCAGCCTGGTCTACAGAGTGAGTTCCAGAACAGCCAGGGCTACACAGAGAAACCCTGTCTCAAAAAACAAAAACAAAAAACAAAAACAAAACAAAAAAGAGTGGACAAATACATACCAAAAGATTAAGAATGGGTTATAGATTTTTTTTAATGCTCTTTTCTGATTACTGATGTTTTCTAAGTTTAACTCTATATTTTATCTTTGAAGAAAAACATCTTATTTACAAAACATGATTATATTATACTTCATACTTCTTAGGAAGCAGTATTGGAAGCAAAATAAAATACAGAGCCACAACACAATTTAAAAAAAAAAACAGGCAATTAATCCCTAAAATCTCTAGAACCAGGTATTAAAAATAAATATAAATAAATAAATAAAACTACCAAGGGCTGGCTTTGCAAAGCTATGAATTGAAATGCAAATTGTTTCCACAAGCAGACAACATCAGAGTCCTTCTTAAATACACAGGAATTTACTATGGAATTCTGTAGTAGGTACACTTACACCATTATCATATCTAGTATACAGTAAGTACTCAAAATTTCTTGATGAAAGAATGTTCTAACTTTATATATATATGTGTGTGAAGCAAGTTGATTGACAGGGATAATGTCCTAATCACAAGGTGGAACAGGTGTGCATAGAACAATGTTACTTGAACTATAATTAACAGAAATAACTCAGACATTAAAAGATGACATCATTTCCTCCCTGTGATTGTGGCTTTTCTCTTCATCTGTGGTGGTCAGCTCCCCTTGCTATATAAACATTATAGCATTCAGACGGGAAGGCTGGTCTACAGACTCATGCTTACCCATTTTCGGAAAAATCCAAACCAGAGACGGTGTTTTGTAGCAGCCAGAACCTGGCTGTGTAGACGTACCACTCAGAAAGTCCTTACCTAACATAACTACCATTTTCTGAGATACCATTCACCTGGGTCACAGTGCTCTGAGTACTTGCACAAAGGGTTTGAAATCAGTCTTTCAAAGAGTAATCTGCACTCCCAAACTCTCTAGCACGCTTCGCAATAGCCTCCCTCCATACTGCTTCCTTCAGAACTGAGGGGGATGGAGAACTTTGGACATAGGGGCAGGTTTGGGTTTGGAAAAAGGGTTGAAATGTGCTTTTAAGAGAACAGTGATTTGAAGTTTATCCTCAGAATAATTTTCAATTTGTTTTCCAGATTTGGAATTGTGATGTTCAAGTTCATCTCTGAGAATTTTCTAAATTTTTTGGACCTGAATAACTTATGTGGTATGAGAGACGTCACTAACAAAGATAAAGCAATATAAAGACCATGATGTCATCTTGTTAGACTGGTGGTCTTACGGGTAAACTGTGGTTTTCAAACTCTTCTTCGTAGGGTCTGTGATTCACAGTGACTTTACAATTAGCACCTTGAGCCTGGTTTTTTGTTTGTTTTTTTTGTTGTTTGTTTTTAAAAATATATTGAGTAGCACTCAAGGGAGATCGTGTAAAAAGTGAGAAAGCAAATTCAAATTGTCAGGATTTTCTTCAAAAGGAGAGCTATTCAACAGTGCTCTACCATAACCCTTGGATTTCACCAATGAAGGATTTTCTTCTGAAGAAACCCATCCTCTTGAAGAGAAAATAGAAGCAGTGCTAGATAGAGATGGGAAATTTGAGTCTCCAGAACACAACCCTGTGAAAACATTGGGATCGGGTGAGTAATTAGTTATTGCTAACATGGACTATGGGTTACCAAGCGGGAATCGTCTATGAGATTTCAGGCAAATTCCATGCTGGTCCTAGGTTTTCAGCAATGCCTGGGTATCCATGCTTTCTAAAAGGTCATAGGTACTTGGCTACAGTCGCACAGGGGATCTGGAAACCACGTGATTCTGGGTGAGCGGTTTGGGGACATACATTCGTGTTTAAATCCTATTTCTTTTAGTTACTAGCTCGGATTGTGGCAAGTCACCCAAGCCTTCCATTCTCTCAGAGAAAAACGAAAATAAAAAACTAGAATGACTTCGTTGTTAAAGATTGTGCTAAGTGCAGAGTGGGGGTGAGGAGTGGGTATACGTGGATGTCTACAGGGACACAAAATTCTAAAATGCCCACGATAATAGCTTCTCAGATTCTTTCAGCTCTAAGTCAATAAATGATAGTTCGTGATCATTAGCACAGACAGCACTTGCGGAATATTTGATCAGCTATGTCCCTAAAGTAGTGTTTCTCAACCCCCCCAGCCTACTCCCGGGGGCTTTCTTTATTATATTTTCTTTTCCATTAAAATTTAATACCACAGGTGCTGTGTATCTATGCTGTGGTCCTCTGAAAGGCCACAAACCCTGGGTTATATAAGATTTCACACACTCACTCACACACACACACACACACACACACGAACAGGGCCATCATTATCAAGGTTGAGAATGCACGTCAGAGAGAAAAGTGACTTGGACAAGGTCAAGTGACTCATTTACTAGCAGAATTAGGTCTGAATTAGGGATCACAAAGTGGTCATCTGATACCAGCTTGTGACTGTCTTGCTTGGTGTATTTTTTTTTTAATGAAAAAATTAGTTACGGATATTTGCTAATCAAGAGATTTTTCAACTAAAACACCCAGGCATCCCGCTGCTCACGAGACCTCGGAGCGTCGCCCCTCTGAGCAGGACGGAGGGGCGCCCTGGACCCCGCCCCGCCCCTAGGGATGCGCCTACTACACGCCTCCCTCCATCACCCGCCTCCTTAGGACAACCGTCTGGGGGCCGCTCGGCGGGCGCCTAACTGGCTGCAGGTTCCGAACCTCTTGGCGCGCTCGCTCTCCGGCTTCGGAGCCCAGGAGCCGGCCGGTCGGTCTCGCACGTCTAAGGCCGGGCCCGGCCGCGCCGCCAGCAGCGGGACAGACTCCCCGCCGGGCGCGCCACACAACGGCTCCCTCCGGCGCGCGCACGGGCCACTCGGCGGCCCGGCACCCGATGACGCCGCGTCGCCGGCGCTGCCTTGCGCGCGCCCGGCCCGCCAGCCAATAGCCGGAGCCACTCTGTGCACGTGACACTCGCCAGCCAACGGCAGCTCGAGGCGGCCCGTGACGCGCGGGATGGCTCCGAGGGGTTTCGAACCGGCGCGCGCGGCTGGAGGCCCGTCTGGGGCCGTGTGGTCTCGCGGTCCGCCTAGGCCTCTGCGCGGAGGGTCTTAAGCTGGAGCGGCTGCCAGCCTGCAACATAGGGGCAGCGACTCCCCATAGCGCCATGCAAAGTCGCAGGTGAGGAAGGAGGAACGAGGACAGCCCTGGGGCTTCGCAGACAGAGCCACGTGCTCCGTCGCAGCTCCCAGCGAAGAAAAGCCTGTATTATGCATCGGATGTGTTTAATGTGCAAAATAAATATAGTGGAAGTATTGTCTTGCACAATGACAGTTTAAATATCTGCTCTAGTACTGTACTAATAGGGGAAGTTGAATGAGAGCGAGAGAGGAGAATTGGCTCTACCCAAGGATCCAAACGTTCTACTTTGTCACCCTTAAAAAATTAGTCTTCCCTTATCCTCTCTGAGGAGTGGATGGAGGTTGGGGTGGGGGGGGGAAGGTGAGGGAAATAAAACACGATGCCTTTATTTTCATAAAGAAGGACTTTGCTAAAAGCCCACCCAATAACTTAACCATATTAGAGATCTCATATACTCAGACTCAGTAACATGGCCTCGTGTAGTTGAGAAATATCTTCGCTGGGCCCTTTACTGTGCTGAAGGAAATCCCATACCCAAAGACGGAGGGATGAAGATGAATAGGCATCTGGCAGCTTCTGCTCCATCTTTGGTGTCAAACTCTGCAAGAAGTCCTATTAACTCGTACAGCTCAGTAGAAAAAAAATCTTTCCAGTGCAGACCAGTTTGTTGACAAGTGTTTGCTCCGTGGTGCCCTGTGCTGGGTACATTTTACATACATTTTTCTTGACATACATTTTTCCTATTTCATGCCATCACTGGGTTTGTGGAGCACATGACACTGATGGATGTGAACGGGATAAACTAGAATGTAGGCTTTGAATTAGTTGTACGGTGTTGCAAACACATAAACCTAAGGAATATAATTCTGTATACACAGTTAACAAAGTTCACTCCATCTAAAGTTAACAAGAATCAAGAACGCCAGGCAATAGTGCCACACACCTTTAGTCCCAGCACTTGGGAGGCAGAGACAGGCAGATCCCCATCAGTTCAAGGCCAGCCTGGTCTACAGAGTGAGTTCTAGGACAGCCAGACTACACAGAGAAGCCCTGTCTTGAAAAAAAAAAAAAAATCAACAAACAGCATAAGGGGAAAAAATGTATCACTTTGTAGCCTAGGAAACAGGTCTTATATAAACATATACTACAAAAAAGATTTTTCACATTAAATTATCAATGCAGTATTTGGAAAAACAAACATTTTTGGTCAAATGGAAAGTGAGAATTGAAATTGACTTGGTGTTTCTTATTACTATCCAAGGTCATAAATAGTGCCTATATTTAGGGTTTTAAAGAAGAAACAGGAGTGTGGGAGTCAGAGAGGGTAAAAGGGGAGAGGGAAGGAAGGAAGTGGAGTGGGGAAAAAAAGTATAGCTCAATAAAAACAATAAAAGCAGGACTAGTTTTATGCTTTAATAAACAATGCCTGTTACATACTTATGATACGTTAGAAAATCAACAATTAGCCTTTGAGAAGACCAACAGGTATACAGATAATATGAACATGTAGAGATTCTTTGTATATGGGTTGTATAGATGAGAAGGGATCCATTTGAGAGAGGAAGAAGAGAGACTTGTCGGAGAAGACTGGCTAGGGAACAGTAACAGCTAAATCTCCGTGCAGACTTGAAAGGATCTAGTTAGGAAGAAGATGGGAGCGCAATACCGAGCTGAGGTATTAGCAAGGATAGCACATCTGACTCACAGATGTAAGGACAGCAAACCGAGGGGGCAGGCAGTACGCTGTCACAGCGTTTGTACGTTGTCCTCCTGCGGAGTTTGTACTCTGTGGCCACTAGCATCCATTCTCTCTCTCCCTTGCTTTTGGGAGGGTCCTTGTGTGCAGGCTTATGTGGCAGTATGATGCCCTGTGCTCCCGGCCAACGGATGGGTAAATGCAGGTCGGACAATCACGTTATTTGCTAAGGATAAGAGAAAACAGTGGGATAGGAGATGAGACATGTTTAAATGTGCTGTGTGTAGCAGCAATTTTCTTACAAATCGAAGCATCCTAGCTGGAGGTTTATAAAGACCCAGGAAGTAAATATCTGAAAATTCTTAAGAGGTTCTTGAAACTTAGAGGACCCACAAGGACCCTCATGGTTCTATAAGCAGTAAGGACTACCGGCAAGAATAGACGTTCTGCTCTGTAGAGTTGACTGCAAATCATGCCAGGTACTTTGGGGGTATAGCTTTTGTGAGTTGTCACCATGCTTGGGGGCACGGAGGAGAGTTGTTTGTTTTTTCAAGACAGGGTTTTTCTGTGTAACAGCCCTGGCTGTCCTGGAACTCACTCTGTAGACCAGGCTAGCCTCGAACTCATAGTTCCACCTGCCTCTGCCTCCCAAGTGCTGGGATTAAAGGCGTGCACCACCACCCAGCAATTTGACTTTTAAAGCTTACCTTGGGATACTATCTACTGAGATTTTATATTCCAGTGGAAAAATGCCCTTCAGTATACAGTATTTTTCAGTGTGTAATTGTTACTGAGCTTCTGTAAATGCCATCTCAATGTAGTTTTATGTCGTTGAACAGAAACCAAAATAAAATAAATGTTTAATATCAAAGCAATAAAACGTTTTTCTTGCCAGGCAGTGGTGGCACATGGTTTTAATCCCAGCACACAGGTTGCAGAGGCAAGTAGAACTCTGAGTTCGAGGCCAGCCTGGTCTACGGAGTGAGTTCTAGGACAGCTGGGGCTACAAGAGAACCATGTCCATTTTACACGTGAGCAGAAGCTTAGAGCGACAGAAGGACCCAAAGTGGCACGGTTAATAAGGGGGGGAAATGAAGGATTAAAACCCTGAACTGAGTGATTACAGTGTCCAAGTCGATTCTCAATATTCCATTATGGCCTCTTAAACGTCCGCAGATCACCTAGCAGATCTTTAGTTACTGTATCGTCATTAGTACACTCAGGGCATTTCAAGTGGATGTTTATCTTCTGAAGTGGACGAGGCCCAGACCCACAGATCGTGCGAGCTGGCATGAGCCAGAGGGAGCGCATTAACCTCCTTGACTGCCGTCAGTCCCGACCCCCGAGAAGAGAGGCAGCGGACGGAATGCTGTTCATTTCCTCAGCCGTGCGGCTGTTTCTGCGTTTTACCCTGTTCCTACCCATCTTCTCATTGACACTTACAAAACCCCGTGAGATTTTTATTCTTATCCTACAAATGAGACATCAGCTCGGGGATTAATGAGTGGTCCAGCTGCTCTCTGATAAAGCTGACACTACACCCACAGAGCCCTTGGGTGGTAGGCAGGGTTCCGGCTCCCGAGATGTCCCACCCACCACTTCCACGTTTACATCCTACATAATCCTCGGGACTATGAATCTGACTGAATTCATTATCATTTCTACGGCAGTAAATGTGACAGGGCACAATTAATGTTGAGAAAGAGAAACTAAGCCGGGCGGTGGTGGTGCACTCCTTTAATCCCAGCACTCGGGAGGCAGAGGCAGGCGGATCTCTGTGAGTTCGAGACCAGCCTGGTCTACAAGAGCTGGTTCTAGGACTGGCTCCAAAGCTGCAGAGAAACCCTGTCTCGGAAAAGAGAGAGAGAGAGAGAGAGAGAGAGAGAGAGAGAGAGAGAGAGAGAGAGAGAGAGAGAGAGAGAGAGAGAGAGAGAGAGAGATTAGAGGGCTGGAGAGATGGCTCAGTGGTTAAGAGACCTGATTGCTCTTACAGAGAACCCACGCTTGATCCCCAGCACCTGTATAGTGGCTCACACTCACTTGTAAGGTCCTGTTCAGGGGATCTGACCTCTACAGGGACCAGACCCACAAGCAGCAAATAGACAAAACAAGCAAAACATTCACACAATAAAAATAAATAAAGATAAGCTGGAGAGATGGCTCAGTGGTTAAGAGCATCGCCTGCTCTTCCAAAGGTCCTAAGTTCAATTCTCAGCAACCACATGGTGGCTCACTACCATCTGTAATGAGGTCTGGTGCCCTCTTCTGGCCTGCAGACATACACACAGACAGAATATTGTATACATAATAAATAAATAAATAAATAAATATAAAAAAATAAGTAAAGATATATTTTGTAAAAGAAAGAAGAAAAGGAATAAAGGGAGGGAAGGAGGAAGAAATTATCAGGGCAAGCCTGACATAATCATCTGAAACTTTCAAAGGTAGGGAGATCTCTGGCTGGATCAGGGGTTCAAAGAACAAAAGAGAGTCTGTTGCTGTTTTTGACCTGGCCCTGAGGAGTTGAGAGCAATCCTTGCCTAAAACCCAGCAAGAAAACAGGACCTTCAACCTCCAAGTGGAAGGAAGCGAATCCTGCAGTCAGCATGAGCTTGGAAGCCTCCAGGTGGAAACGGCCTCCCTGACATTTTGATTTGCCTAAGTCAGACCTTGATGGAAGAACCATGCACTAATGAGTGATCACTGTTCTAAGCCTCTAAATTTGCAATAATTTACGCAGTCTCAGAAAACCAATAAATACTCCTTGCTTTTCTTGTTAAATCTTAGGACTGGAGCAAATCTTTCTCTTTCTCTGGTTCTAGTTTTCACAAGATTTTTATATCATTTCTTAGGTCCTTTCTAGCTCAGTTGATACTGATGATGTTGATACTGAGATGTGTGTGTGTGTGTGTGTGTGTGTGTGTACACACGTGTGTGTGCTCACACATGGGGAGGGTAGAGGATAACCTCAGCAACTGTTCCCCAGACACCATCTGCCATGTTGTTATTGTTTTAAGACAAGATCTCTCGCTGGCCAATTAGACCAGGCTGGCTGGCCAGTGAGCCCCAGGGCTGCACCTGTCCCCACTTCTCCAATGCTGGTTTCACCAGTGTGCGCCACCAGGTTGTTTTTGTTTGCTTGCTTTTAATGAGAGCCCTAGGGATGGAACTCAGGTTCCTCAGGCTGGCAGGCAAACACTGTACCAGCTCAGCTATCTCCCCAGTTCTAAGATTCTTAATGGCGTCATGTTTTAGTGGCGGGACCATAGCAGAAGATGAGGCAGAAAGATTGTAAAAGCCAGAGGCTGGGGAGCACCAGAGCTGGAGTGTCTTCAGGACGTGACAGAACTCACA